TCAGTGTACAAAGTCTATACATAAGTGTACAAAACCGCCTATTCCCTTGCTAGGTATATATGTATGTATAAAAACCGCCTATTCCCTTGCTTGTGTATGTGTATAAGTATGTCTGTATGCATGCATGCATGCATGTAGAATTAACAGAATCAGCACTATATATATATTATCTGGCATTATCTTGAATTATTATTAATTATTATTATGATTTATTATTATTATCTTGAATTCAGGCGTACGTAATTTGAAATGTTTGATAATTTTGCACTGAAAACATGCCCTAATTATAGCATAATTTAAGCAATAAATTCTCAGATTAAACCGAAAAAATTATTTGTCATACACTGTAGTTCACATTAAGATGTTTTCTGATATAAAGGTCTAGGGTGGAATTCTTGAATTCTACCTATAAATATTAATAAGAATTTTTACCATAAATAACAGCTGCACTTAAATTGCATTAATATATTCAAACAATGATCATGCACGATTAAATTACATTTCTGTATATTTTGAAAAAAATAGGTATTCTAATATTATTAACAAATTTCACATGGTGTTTTACAGAAAGGTGAATAAGGAGAACTGTTAAGACTGAAGAGTTTCAACATATCAAGAACGCATTACATGCAAAATAGCACCGAACGTAGCGCTGTTGTTGATCAAAGCCACATTTTTCACATTCCAACCACGCAATGAAACATGCTTCAGCTTGCTCTAGTCTCGATTTGTGCAAACAAACTAACACGCACGCAATATAGTTTAACGTGGAAAATTCGATGGTAGTAACATAGTCTTAAATCCTTTATAATCTCAAAGTAACTATATGGCAATTTAAGAGTCAGAAATGTGATAAATGTAGAAATGAACATAGGATTATTGATAATAGGCCATGAGATTATTTAAGTGTTGGCTCACGAAATTTGAAATCACTCTGTTCATGTCAGCACGACGGCATACATAATCAATGCGCTTTGCTGGCAACATGATGTTCGTTTATACGTGTACAATTTACTAACCATGCAGAGGAACTCGAAGTCACGCAAGAATTATACGACCTTGTAATGCACATATACTGTATATATTGTACATATATTAATGTACATGTAGATTCAGATTCCGCGACAACGAAACCTTGTGTAAATATTAGTATATATCAAACAAAATAAGTAACGCTTACCTGTGAAATAGGTTAATAATGATACAAATTCAACACTGCTTTTGACCCAAACGGAGCGCGAAAATGACAAGCCTGATTGCTTCGTTCTTTTATTCGTTGTAACCACAGTGTTCTAACTCGGCGCCAAAAATGCGCATTCCCTGATTGGTGCACATACAACACGTGAACACAGATAAGTTAAGTCATTGTGTTCAAAATTATTTGCGCCCCGCCGCGAGAAATGTTGATTGCATGGTCCAAAGTAAAATCATGCACGCAACCTCGCACCTATAGGCTCAGATTCCAGCCGTTGCGTTTCGCCACTCGCCCACTAAAGCCTACCTCGCACTCTCCTCAAGAGGATCTTGGGCAGTTAGTCTAGGGGTTTTTTTCGGAATCATCAATGTTGCCCGAGTGCTCACAAAAGAAACAACTGCCTACATTTTTAATAGTATATGATACGGCCAGTAGGCGGAAATATAAAGCCCTTAGGTGTTCGTTTCTAAGGTTTCTTGTGCTAAGTTCAAACTGTGGTTCAAAATAACAAGGTCGCGCCGGATTATTAGCGTATCACGATCACAAATTTGGTGGTTTCAGTGACTCTTTTTGGCCATGAATAGGCAATAATAGCACAAAAATACAAAATAAAACGAAATAGGAGACCTTTTAACCAATCTGCATGAGCTTTACTATCTCCGCAGCATCATATAAACTGACAGATACCGGCAACACGCAACATTGATTAAAGAATTGGCCGTGAACCAGCCACATTTTGCATGTCCAATGGCAATTTATACCTTATACGTTAATTTGGGAATGCAACTTAGTGTTCTATGTTTTCGAACCGGAGTCGCTTATAAGTGAGTGGTTTGAAATCTATAAACCAAAGCCACAAGCCATAAATGCCTTATAATTGTAGCATCGGTGGATCATTTTTTGCGAACGCACATATCAAACGTATTCATAGGAATGTCGAAGACATTCATGTCGCTAACAGCCTAACACTGAGGAAGCCGGCGACGCCAACACATTTAATAACAATGATTTTCCCGACGAAGATGCCAGTCATCAATTCATTCGATGGCCACAGATTTATGTGCTTGATGTATACGCGAAGATACTCTGCGTGTTTCTGCCACTCCATGCGTCGCCGCCATCTTGAAAAATTGAAGGGTAACTAAGGGGTAATTTTTACCCTGTAAAAAATTACCCCCGAATATACACCGCGTAACATTACCCGCAAAACCGGTGTAATTTTTACCCCTCTTTAAATTACCCTTCCGTATTCAACAATTCCGCTACTACCCTGCATTGTGGAGTAATTTCTATCCCAAAATCAATTACTCCTTTCAAGGAAGTAATTCTTGACCTTCAAAAGGGTAATTTTTTTACTCCCTGAAATTTACAGTCATATAGGTATTTTCTTTTTTTCAAAATCATCAATGTTGCCCGAGTGCTCACAAAAGAAACAATTGCCTACAGTTTCATAGTATATGATACGGCAAGTGGGCGGAAATAAATCCTTAGGTGTTCGTTTCTAAGGTTTCTTGTGATAAGTTCAAAAAATAACAAAGTCACGATTATAAGCTTGTCACGCGATCACAAATTTGGTTGTTTCAGGGACTCTTTGGGGGCATGGATAGGCAATAATAGCACAAAGTAAAACGAAATAGGAGACCTTTTAACCAATCTGCACGAGCTTTACTATCTCCGCGGCATCAAAACTAACAGATACCGGCAACACGCAATATTGATTAATGAATTGAAACCAGCCGCATGTTGCATGCCCCATGGCAATTTATACCTTATACGATAATTTGGGAATGAAACTTAGTGTTCTATGTTTTCGTACCGGAGTCGCTTATAAGCGAGTGGTGTGAAATCTATAAACCAAAGGCACAAGCCATAAATGCCTTATAATTATTGCATCTGTGGATAGTTTTTTCGGCGAAAGCACATCAAACGTATTCAGACGAGTGTCGAAAACATTGATGACGCTAACACTGAGGAAGCTGGCGACGCCAACACATTTAATAACAATGATTTGCCCCATGAAGACGCCAGTCATCAATTCTATCGATGGCCACAAATGTATGCGCTTGATGTATGAAATTATTCGGTAAAATTTCAATCGTATACTCGCGAAGAGACTCTGCGGGTCTCTGCCACTCCATGCGTCGCCGCCATCTTGAAAAATTGAAGGGTAACTAAGGGGTAAGTTTTACCCCGTAAAAATTTACCCCCGAATATACAACGCGTAACATTACCCGCGAAACCAGTGTAATTTTTACCCCTCTTTCAATTACCCCTCAATTACCCCTCCGTATTCAACTAACTACCCTGCATTATGGAGTAATTTCTACCCTAAAATCAGTTACTCCTTTCAAGAGAGTAATTTTTGACCTTCAAAGGGGTAATTTTCTCCCTCTGGAAACAAAGACGGCGTTCCATTTGTCCAGTTTTGGTTTCAAATTAAGTTCACTCCAATAACCAGTGAATTATTCATACTTTCACACTTAATTATATACTATATAACAAAACACTTATTTACTGAGACCTCGACCGCAGTTGTTGCCTGGTCTCGGGTCCACAAAACACACTGTTTCCCTCGGTCTCAGTAAATAAGTGATAATTGTTTGTTGCTGAAAGTGAATTATATCTTTTCGGTATCTTGTGGAAAGCAAATTGTGAAAGCAAGATGATTTAGGAATAGACTGCTTAATAAACCGTTTTATTACACGCCTACTTTTTTTATTTTTTAACGGGAATTCTAGACGGCTGCCGATCTCGGCTTTTGACATGGGTTAAATTTTTACTGTGTGATTTACTTCGACTAAAATTATTATATGGACGAGTAGATGGCAATACTTCTTTCACCATACTTGCATGTGTGTTGTTGCATTTTGGTAATGTAGTAGAGTTTTGTTTCCTTTAGTCGAGGACCTGTATATGGGTTTGTATGCATTTCATTTAGGACAGGTAATCTCAACTGTTTTAGGGCAAGTTGACCATGATGGTTAACATGGTAACGCTGCCCGAACCCCAATCCGGGACGAAATGTCCGAAACCGACCACACCCAAAAACGACGCTTTCGCCATAGTGCTATCTACCAAACCATACAAGCTTTGGCTATTCTGAGGTGCTTATATGGTTCAGAGATGGTGCTTTTAGGGGTGGTCGTTGGTAAGTGTGAAATGCCTAGCACTGATATTTCACAAGAAAATGACCATGCAATACTCATAGTCAAACGTCAATTTGTGGCTTACAACTTCAGATAAACAGCAGTGGACCTACATTACCTTTTTTCCTAAATCTTTTTGATAGAAACATAATTGGTACTTATTTAATTATATTATCACTGTTTTGGTGTAAAATGGTTAATATTTTGTGACCGAAATAATAATTTGAAATGTACCTACCTCCTGCAAATGGACGTATTTGGCCAAATTCTCCACTTTACTCCGGTGTTTATCGCAGATCTCGTTGAAATCCTTCCAAATATGCAATTCAGCTCAAATATAATGGTATCAAGCACATTTTAAACATGTTTTAACTGGGTTTCAAGTAGATCCTAGCTGTTTAACCATCGACAAGGTAAAACCTCAACTTTGTCCAAATTCGGTGCCATTTTGTCATCCCGTTCGGTTGTCCACAATTCGGCCTCGTTCTTCTCTCATCCAAGCCATTTAACAAACACTAATAACAAATTTAACCCTTTGTTAAGGGTATTAAAATAAAAATACAAACGAAATATGCGAAATGCAGCATTTTACCACCCTGTAAGATCTTGCTTACGAGTCTTTCAAAACATTCCGTACAAATCTCGCGTGGCAAAGTAACGCGAAGTCGTGACGGAGAGAGTGCGTTTTATTCTGATAGAAAAGAAGGCTGCGTGAAGTACACTAAAAACTAAATACACTCATACAAACGTTTGTTTTATTTCTTGTAGCGACAAATAAATACATATTATTACCTGTAATATGAACATGTTATACAAATTAAATGTTGATTGTTGGTTTTACCATGGATAATAAAATAAATGGATAGGACTCTAGCTGAACAGGTGGGAAATTTGTCGTCGCTGACCAAAAAATTGCGGGCAGAAACAAAGCTCATTGCATTTACATTCAAAACAAAGCAGAAAGTTAGCAAGAAGCTGTTTTAGCTGACGATTTTTTGCTTTCCATTCAACGATTTACAAATTATTGGTTATTCTTTTAAAAGTCGATCATGAATTCTTTGTTTTGGCATGATTGTTTTGTAATCGAGTGATTGGAAGAAGTTCATATGGTGACGTGAACATGGGAGTAAATACCGTATAGGTCGATCTATGGCTTGTTTAAAACCGTAATAAACGAAGAAAGACGTGATTTGAGAATGAAATGTAAGTTGAAATTAACTTTATATGCCTCAAATTTTCCATCCTATATTTGTTAATGTAACTTCAGCTGTCTAAGTTCAAAATACAAGCTCGCGAAATTTGACAAATTTTGAAAATATGTAAAAATAGCTTGACTTTGAACTGTATTTTCTCAAAAATAGCCCGTGGCCTCAATTTCAAATATAGCTAAATGAAAAGAAAAAAGTTTTCGGCGTTTGTAGGTATCAAACATATCGTCAGGAAAATAGGGGCTCGCAATGTTTTAGCTGAGTCTTTGAGACCCAGTTGCTTCGCACGTGTTGTGGTCAAATTTTTGCCAAGAATCAAAGGCCGAAATGTGAACTTCCTTCATGAAAACCGGCTCGAGAAGGGCCTAGTTTGAAAATTTAGCTATTAATTTCGATTTCATGAGAATATATTGGTTACACGTTAAATATTTTTGTACTTGATGAGATTCAAAATTTGTTGCATATTCAAGCCCGGCTTTAGTGTAATTTTGGTGATGACCGGAACAGAAATAAAGATATTTTAAAAACTGGCCGTGGCCTCACGATAAAACTTTCTAAAAATGTTCTCTGTTTCATGTATTTTTATTTGATATCTTAGGGGCTCATACAGTTTACGAGGTTGTAAAATGCATGACTTGCCTCTATTTTCATGTAAACATTCGAAATTTTTCGACAGCAAAGTAGCAACTGTTTCAGATCGAATGCACACGGACAGCCCACCAGAGACAATGGCAGGGTACTGAAATAGAACGTCACTAAAAAATTCTGTATGATTAATTTAGAACATGTCCACTCTTTCAACATAAAACAGTCATTTATTTTGTACAAACATTTGGCAATATTTACACGATTGTGCCTTTTTGTAAACACGCGTTGCGTGTATTCCACGCAATTGCGTGGCTCATTTTACTCGCGCATGCTCAGACAAATTTCCCACCTGTTCTCTAGCTGACGTAAGCAAAAACAACCTGGTTGCAATCTGTGACGTCACGCGTATTGCAAAGTTCTCGGCATTTTTGTTGTTTCGCTATACTTTCCGCTTTAAAAGAGTAATATTGAAGCATAAACTGGTCTAATTGTTTTAAAAACATGCCTAAGCCACGACAAAGTATTCAAGGTAAACGTCTTTCGTCTTTGTTTTGTATTTTTTTACATTTGTAGCTACGAAATTGGCGTCCCCAATTTTAACGAAATTTGGGATGCATTTTTCACTGTTTAGTGCTTGAAATATTTGCTAAAATTGACTGGGAATACTTAGAGATTTCATCGTAGAATGGCGTAGTTATATTCATTTGCTTTTTGATTGTACGGAATGTTTTGAAAGACTCGTAAGCAAGATCTTACAGGGTGATAAAATGCTGCATTTCGCATATTTCATTTGTATTTTTATTTTAATACCCTTAACAAAGGGTTAAATTTGTTATTAGTGTTTGTTAAATGGCTTGGATGGAAGAACGAGGCCGAATTGTTGAAAACCGAACGGGATGACAAAATGGCACCGAATTTGGACAAAGTTGAGGTTTTACCTTGTCGATAGTTAAACAGCTAGGATCTACTTGAAACCCAGTTAAAACTTGTTTAAAATGTGCTTGATACCATTATGTTTGAGCTGAATTGCATATTTGGAAGGATTTCAACGAGATCTGCGATAAACAGCGGAGTAAAGTGGAGAATTTGGCCAAATACGTCCATTTGCAGGAGACTACGTGAGCAGCATTGGTTAAAATCAGGTGGGACGGGGAGTATCATAGCTGAAGGTGATGTAATCATCATCAAGTCCGTCGAAAGAAACAGGAATCACTGGCCCCTTGGGATTATCGAGAAGTTGATTGTCGATAAAGATGGATGTATACGGGGAGCAAAGGTGCGTACTGGAAAGAGTGTCATTGAACGTGCTATCCAGTTTTTATACCCTATGGAACTTTCATGTGACAAAGCACCCTGTGTTTCTACTACTCCTACGAAAAGCTTGGATCCCAGAGTACAACCTTTCCGACCCCGCAGAGCTGCAGCCTTGAAAGCCGAAGAAAGAATGAGGATTACTGCAGATAGCGAAGATGAACTTTAGTTGCATCCTGGTTATTTCAGGACGAACTTCCTTAACTAGACAATCCTTATTATTGACATTTAGCATGTTTTTTGTTGACATACATCTTCTTCAAAGATATATGGGGGAGTGTGTAAAAAACATTACTGTTCTGACTTCAGACAATAATTGAGATCAGTAGTGGTCATTAGTCCATACAATTATGGAGATCATATACTTAGCTCTCACTCTGTAAACACGTTTTTGGGAATACAGTTATAAAAGCCTTTGTGAGCGAGATTATTTACATATTAATAGAAAACAGTCTTCGTTTTCGACAGTTGTAAGCCACAAATTGACGTTTGACTATGAGTATTGCATGGTCATTTTCTTTTGAAATATTTCACACTTACCATTATTTCACACTTACACTTACCAATGACCACCCCTAAAAGCACCATCTCTGAACCATATAAGCACCTCAGAATAGCCAAAGCTTGTATGGTTTGGTAGATAGCACTATGGCGAAAGCGTCGTTTTTGGGTGTGGTCGGTTTTGGACGTTTCGTCCCGGATTGGGGTTCGGGCAGCGTTACCATGTTGACCGTCATGGTCAACTTGCCCTAAAACAGTTGAGATTATCTGTCCTAAATGAAATGCATACAAACTCATATACAGGTCCTAGACTACTTGTTTCTGTACTAAGATTGCGACATGTTTCAGAATAACAAGTCTCATTGACCTTTGATATATTCCCAAGGTCACGTTGTGTTTCATGAGTCATGTTTAGGTTTTCACATGTATTCAATGTCACTTTAGATTTCAATAGGTTCACAGTTATAGCAGTGTTTATAACAGTTTTGGTAAGCTTTGGTACATATAGATTCTCGTAAGATCTGGTAGAGTTCTCTTTGCACTGAACACGATTTTGCACCGTTGTGCTCTCTACCCGTGAACAAGGTCTGTGACGGTAACACGTTGGCTACCTCCTTGCCTTTTTCTTCTATTGCATAAAGCTCGCTGGCAAGCCAAGCGATTGGCGATAACACGTGGGCTATCTCCTTGCCTTTCTCTTCTATTGCATAAAGCTCGCTGACAAGTCAAGCGATTGGCGATAACACGTTGGCTATCTCCTTGCCTTTCTCTTCTATTGCATAAAGCTCGCTGGCAAGTCAAGCGATTGGCGATAACACGTTGGCTATCTCCTCGTCTTTCTCGTTTAAATAAAGAGCTCTGACGAGTCAAGAGATTTTTAGTGTCGCGAATTATTTCCTTCGTAAACGCCATACAAACATTCGCTTCTGTAGTTGTTTACGCTCTACTGATCTGATGCAATTTTTCGCTGTGTGGCATTGATGCACCAGCCAATCATATTATTGAATATCAGCACGTGATGTTCACATGCGGGTGTTATGCAACCCTAATCTCTGAACGCAACAACAATCATGCTTGACACGTGCTGTATGTGTGGTTTCAGCAATTCAGCACAGAGTTAATTATGTGGTTCATATAGGGTTACTGACTACTGAGTGTTAACCATCTTAAATGTTTAATCTTTAGACACTTTACAAGAACAATTAATATTCTGTGATGTAGCACCTTATACAGTCGCTGTATATAATGATACGGTCTAAATAATATCGGCACTTATTGAATGCCCGTATTAATGCACAATGTCAAATTATATATTTGCGTAGAACCTCGAAGATTTTCTCAATATTTACGTCTGAAATGCTTCCAACTCTGTATAATGAATATACCGTCAAAATAATATCGGCACTTAATTAAATGCCCGTAATGCATAATATCAATTTATATATTGCGTAAGAATCTCAAAGATTTACTCAATATTCAGCACTGTCTCGCTCCTTTCTAGCTCTGTATATGATGAATATACCGTCTACATAATATCGGTACTTGATTAAATGCCCGTAATGCATAACATCACTTTATATATTGCGTAGATTCTCAAAGATTTACTCAAGATTCACGTCTGAAATGTTTATACATTTGAAAACAACACTATGTCGCTCTTCCTAGCACTAGCAACACCGCGGAAAAACGTCTGCGCATGCGTCAACCTTACCTGTAATAGTATTGCGAACTTGATGAGAAGCTGTTCCGAACGTTTCCGAAGGCTCAAAATGGCGGTAAAAAGGAATGACTTCATTGTGCGTCTTTACAGCCAGATTTCGAGCGCAAAAATAAACATGTCATTCTAAAAACTAGGAATAAATACAGCCAGAAGGTTCAAGAAATTGTATTGTACAAGAACATGAACTAAAGGTGATTGTTGACAAATTTATCGTCTGAAACATTTTGTTTATCAACTAAGCAACGAGAATTTTCGAATTTTCGTTTGAGATACATTCCCCTAAAAAAAACTGTGTCGCCAAATATAAAAAATTTTCGTGTTCACAATAATTAAACTTTAGGATTTATTCTACAATTTGAGTGGGTTAAGAAGCTTAACTTTTCGAGAGTTTTCTTAACTTTTGAGTTTGAATTTTTGTTTTGAATAATTTAGCAAAAAATTTCGAAGTCGTGTCCGTTAAAATCAACAATTTTTTTACATGAATTCTATTTCATTCCATACTTTAAATGCCAGGACGCTTTCAATTAATGTCTAGTCTACCCATTTGCTATATTTTCTCGTTTGTTTTACTAATTTTTGACCAATTAATAAGCATGTTTTTGGTTTAGAAATTGATATTCAAATTCCCCGCCATATTTTCATAATTTGGTGCATGCGCAGACGTTTTTCCGCGGTGTTAGCACTAGCACGCCATCGTGATCTGCGGCTTCATAGCGCATGCGCATTTGCGCTGCCAAAGAAAAAATCGGGTGTTCCGGGGTAATGATCCTTTACACAACATGAGAAGCAAATGTTCTAAAATTTAAAGACATTTACAATAACGACATTAACGATTCCTGAAAAAATTTTGTGAAACTGGAAAATGGCCTAAAGAATATTTAAAGAAGACAACTGAAATTACCTAAAAAACCTTCAAAGTACTAAGTACAATAAATCACTGAGAACATAAATCGTATACACCCCCCGGAAAGTTTACTCTATGACTGACTGACTGAATGAATGAATGAATGACTGATTCGTGTGAATTTGCCAGTCATCACAACAGTGTAAAGTGAAACTTTACACGTTTTCTTACTTATCTTACTTACTCAAACTAAGGTAAGGCAGACCAATCGAAAAAGTGTAAAATAACTTACTCAACACTTCAGAAAGGTCAAACTGATTCTAGCTTTCTTATTTCATTTCTATAGTTCTTTAATGTTTATTTAATTCAGCAAGTGTTTTCTTCCTGCTACCATTACTTTCTTATCAAAAACAGGAAGTTGGATCTTGGTGTTATGTTGATAAAATGGGTTCATCATTACCTGCAACATAAATAATGTAGTGGTACTGTACATCAAGTGTAAAATAATACATGCCGCACAAGCATTTTCTCCACTTGAGGAGTAAAATCTTGTGGTATTTATAGACAGCATAAATAATAAAAGGTGCTGCATAAGAGGGCTTTTTTCCCCAAAATAATACAACCAGTCCGAAAGTAATCAACATTACTGCTGCCCCGTACCCAGGCGCTTTGCTTTGTTCGATCAAATTAGCCCACGCAAAGGTCACGCAAGCATAGAACAACACATAGCGCCTGGGTACGAGGCAGACATTACTGTACATAGTTATGCTTGCAATAACGAAGGGACTGGTCATAAAGTAAATTATAAAAATAGAAATAAAACGTATCAGGATCCATGTGTAAAATTTATACCGCAAACGTTAAAAGCTGAATTTACTGTCTTGGCTAATACGTTAGTAGTGGCTAACTAATTTTCTGATAATCATTATTGCTAAATGTCACGAGCTTTGTGTGGGATGTTTCAGGGCCTTTTTTAAGGATTTTCCAGGGGGGGCGGGGCATTTTTTGAAAAGGGACCTTTCTGTGAGATAATATATTAGAGGGGGATAGCAATGGCTGACAACCACGTGTGTGGCCGACATACTCCCCCAGAAAATGTTTGAAATTTGAAGCCCGCAAATGCCATTTCCTGTTTTCTGAGCATCTAAATTTGCTCTAAAATTTATGCTAACTATACTTGTATTCAGGGATGCCGGAACCACGGGTGCAGCGGGTGCAAGTGCACCCCTTGCCTTTTGCATTTTCAACTTTGTGGGAGCAGTACGGGTGCAGAATACGGCAGTACGGGTGCAGAATACGGGTGCAACGGGTGCACAAAGTGCCCTTTTTGCGTGAAAATTTTCCATTAAAATTGCATTTTTTGCGCAAAGGGCATTTTTGAAAAAATTTTTTTCGGTATGTCCGGAAAATTTTTTCGTATTTAGGAAAAATTGTGGTATGTCCGGAAAATTTTTTTACCCCTAAAATGGTACACTGACCAAAAAATTTTTGGCGACGGGGTGGCGGGGGGAGGAGGTCGCCAAAAATAATTTTTAGATGCCCTTTCATTTTCATTAGTGCCCTTTTGTTAAGGAATATGCCCTCTTGTTAACCAATTGCACCCCTTGCCCCCAGCAACTTCCGGCATCCCTGCTTGTATTTGAAACAAAAGAAGGAAAAAATGCAGAAAAAATAAAATATATTAACAATAATTTACTCATTACTTATTAAAGGGGGATAGCAATGGCCGTGGGTCACGTGTGTGGCCGACATACCACAAATAAATAGGGGGGGGGGTCTCTCCCCCAGAAAATTTTTGAAATTTGAAGCCCGGAAATGCCATTTCCTGCATTCTGAGCATCTAAATTTGCTCTAAAATTTATCCTAACTATACTTGTATTTGAAATAAAAGAAGGAAAAAACGCACAAAGAATTTTAAAAATATTAACAATAATTTATCATTACTTAGTGTTAAAACACGTAGGATGCACACGCGGTGACACAGTTCCTTTAAATCGATTTTGTTAAACAAGGACAAAGGATAAAGCCTAAAACTTACTTTCCGTTTATCAATGGGGGGGGGGGGCAAAATGTGATTTCGTGGGACGGGGAATGTGGTTTCGTGGGGGCACAAGGGGGACTGGGGGGGGGGGGAAATGCCCCCCCCCCCCAGCTTGTATGTTAAAAAAGGCCCTGGGATGTTTATTATGTAACAAAATTAGTGTAATTTCTACAAGAGCGTAGTTAAATCACAATCATCGTTGGCGGTTTGGCGTTAGCTGTAAATGTCCAACTAAAGGTCTCTAATTATGAAAAAGATACTGCATAATGCAGTATGCATGGGAAGTTCCATGCAAAGAAAGACCTTTCTGTATTTGATTCAGGGCCTCTTTTAACATATAGACTGGGGAGGAAATGCCCCCAGCCCTCTACTGGTTCCTCCACTCAGCAATTGTCCCCCGTTAGGTCTCTAAGAACTACCTGCAGTAGGTGGTCAACCAGCAAGTATGTATCAAAGTGAGAAAACAATGTTAAGTTGTTAACATTTCTGAATCTGACCATCATTTGCAGGCCCGTAACTAGCTACATGTACGAGTCCACCGAGTCAGTTTACTCAGTAGAACAGAATTTGGGGAGAAACCATGACTGAAATAATTTGCTTGTGGAACAAGGTATGAAATGGCATTTTAGGACGAAATTCTAGTTTAGTTTTTCCAAGCAAAGATACTCCAAAGAGACCACCCTATCTTGCTCTTCAGTGACACTGAGAAGACGAATGTGTCGATTTCAAGTACCCCAATACATGTAATACAGTACTGTAGAATTTGAAGTGTGGTGAATGATTATACAATTACTTTATGGTTTCCGTGTTTGGATGGCCTGATCCAAACACGCGGGAATGTTGCGAGGGTTAAGAAAAGCGAGCGAAATTTTGCCCGCTTTTCTTAACTCGAGCAACATTCCCAAGTGTTTGGATCAGTCCATCCAAACACGGAAACCATAAAGTAATTGTTTTATAAAATAACAACAACACGATAGTCTTCCCGTGTTTGGATGGCCTGATCCAAACACGGGTTTCGACCAATCAGAATACGCGTTATGTACATGTTATTTTATAAAATACTATACCACACACATTTTAATTACCGCATCATCACACCATGTTGCCTTATTGGGACTGGATTACATTTGGGAGACTGTGAAATTGCAGTAATTGTGTCACTGTTTATAAGGTTAATTTCTTGTTATAAAACTCCTCAAATGCGGGAAATAGCTTATCTAAGCTTCAAGAAATCCAAAATTTTCTGGGTGTGTGCCCCCAGACTCTAGAAGCTCGCACCTTGGGTGGTCGACTCTGTTCTCACAGAATCCTAGTTACGGCCTGATCTGCTGCCCTATGACGTATACTTATTAGTTAAACCATGCATATATATGCTGGTAGCAGCAGTGATACAGACTCGCTGACTGGAACTTCTCCAGGTCCCCACCTAAATATGTCCTCTCCAGTTACACATCCTTAAAAGAGGCCCTGAATTTTAATTGCACCATTTGAATAGCTATTGAGTATTGTAACATATAATTATTTGGCAACAGAAAAATAGAACGCTGGTATCTTTCGCGTTTCTGAAAGGGTGGGTCATAATTTTTCAGCACCAATTTAAGGGTGGGCCACAAATTTTTGTGCAGCTATTAAGGGGTGGGCTACCAAAAGTGCAGACACCAAATATATGATTTTCCCAGACCCCCCTTTATTTTATGACCAGTCCCTAATTCGAAGCTCAAAGTGCTATCTAACAGTTAAGCTTACAGTAAAAAAGGATGAAATCTAAAATGGGTCAAAATACTTTTTCAGCCTCGCTCGACTCCATTGAGAAATCTTTCTGGACCCTTGGGGTCCTTTAAATTAAGGATCAAGAAGGATACTGTGAATATCCTGTCATTTTATATATCGGAATGCCACATACTAGTAGCTTACCTGTTGTTCAAAATTACTACAAAATAGATGCATTCTGGCTTTATGAGTCAAATGAACGAGTATAAAATCAAGATAACGTACCAGTCAGATAACGTACCTTAATAAACGTCTCATAGACCTCATTAAAGAAATTCTTTATTCCATCTTCGTTTTTCACGTCATGTAAGATCATAAATCTCACACTTGAAACATGTTAAGGAATGTTCCTTAATTTATGTGTATATTGAAAAAGATGTTTGAATATTGTATACCTACTGTATTAAACAGCATGGGCGATGGGGCAACCCCCAATACTTTCTTAATAATTTTTGAGAGATAATTGGTTCATTAAGTAACCAATTAAAATCTAAATTTTGATGTAATCCTGATGTCCTGTTAATAATTGATAAGCTAATTTGCATTAAAAGGTGGCAAAAAATGTTTGAGAACTAATAAAATTTGCAGCAACATACTGTAAGCGGGCTGGAATATATGTTGGCAATCTAAATCTGCACCCCAAACATTTCACAAAGTGTCAAAAAGTGCATTGGGGCTCATTACCCAAGTGTACATATGCATTCAGGCAGAGTTGTTCAGCAACATTGGTTAATCATGTAGGACTTTGGCTACATTTTTCTATTATTTTTTCAATATGATCTAGGGTAAGCAAAATAATTAAGCTGGCAGTCGCCGAGTGTTACGAAGTTTATCGCCAGCTAATTTCGTTCAAACATTACTCTACATATGCACTTCTAAATCTGTATTTTTCATTGAATTTATAACATTTAACCATTGGCAAGAGAATACTAGCTAGAACAAACATATAGAGAAATGATTTTTGACATTAACAGATTAACTACGGTACCATAAAAATCAAAATAAAATACAGTAGGATGAAATCAAAATTGTGACGTTTAATGACGCATTTCATTTCTTTTCAACAAGAATATCATCCAGTCTTATATAGGGCTTTATCCAAGCACTATTGCTGACCCCCGTTTTAGAAAAGAAGATTCATTTTTTGTGACGCACGAATGTAGCCCTGGGGGTCTAGGGGCAAAGTCCCTGAAAGCTTTTGCTATTTCAGCATCTTAGTATGTAACCGCCACGTTGCTTGAATGTAATTGCGTGTGTGAATGATGTAATCTTATGTAAACATTGTGCAATACCAAAGAAGCCATGCATCGATGTACTCGTATTCGAGCGTATTTTTTCTGCGGCTTTTTCACTCTTTCAGCTCAAGGTTGTGTACATTTTAGATTTTAGTTCGAAAAATTTACTTTCTATAATTTTGTAATTTTTGTTATTCTTCAATCATCATTATCATCCCATTCAGGGATGGATCCAGCATGATCTGGTAGG